GTGGCAGAGCCGAGCCGAGCTGATCTGAGCCGATCTGAGCTGATCTGAGCCGAGCCGGACGACACAACGAAGACGTCGACGGCAAACGGCGACAGCGACCACGATGACAGAATAAATAAACGCTAACGTCGTCGAAGACGACATCTTGGTGGTGTTTGCTTAACGCCACAGCGACGGCCGTCGCCAGCCGTGATGAGCAATTGGCAGAGGCTACTAGGGAAACCACTACGGCTCATCCGGGACACAGCCGTCGGCACACGACCGGATACGGAGATGGGGGGGGGACACGACGACGTTCATCACGTTCTCCTGCTGCCAGTGCGATCTTCCGGTCACTGGCCATCTATCAGCGGCGCATGCGCCACCCTTAAGACTTGTGTATCTCTATCGATCATAAATTCTATACATGACGGCAGATATGCAATTACATAATATTTTACGAACGATAAACGCATGTCTAATGATGATGCTCACGCAAACATGATTATTTGTACAGGTAAGAGGTGCTCTGCCACCGTAGCCCGTTCAACGACCGGTCTTAGACGTTCCCAGAAAGGTAAATAGGCGGCCCACGCTGCATCGTTATCACTCCTAATGGCAGAGAGATTAGGAGCACAGTGAAAGCCGACCACCACAGTGAGCACGGATACAACCTATCGCGCATGGCTTGCATTTACTTGTGGTTGGAACATCGTCCAGAAGACCATGACCACGGCCAAACGGCATAAGCGGGGCTGAGAACAGGCCAGGGCCAGCAGACAACCCGCAACAGAGCATGCAGCCGACCTCGACGTTTGTCCGACCAGTAGCCAAGCTGTACCACAGAACAGAACACAGACGAGACGAGAAGAGACAGATGAAGGAGCGGCAGGACACACCGATCGACAGATGTACCGATCGAGGCTGCTTCGAGTAAAGGCGTACTCTCTGAATTATAGACGACGCAGCGACACCTGGCGAAATGATTGCACTAAAGCCATGAAGATGTACAGCGCAACGAGGACATTGTGGTAGCAACGGTGGACGACGAGGACCAGGGCAAGGGCCAGAGCGAGGGCCAGGGCGAGGACCAGGACGAGGTCGAGAGAATAGGACGAAAGGGAGAAAGAGAGGAGGAGTTCGGCGCGTTGATCGATCCCTGTCGCACGGACGGACTTTTCCTTGTATTGTTCAATATTGCTCAAATGGTTGGATTAGTTAACGGCACGTTGCCTTCCGTGGACATTGAACCGATCGTCCTAATGCCCGACGCGTAGACCATACGCTTATCTCAAACCATTTCAAACCATACAAACTGCCTTATCATACATTATGAAACGCATGATCAACACTGTCGCCATTAAAGCTGGCTACTGGGTTCAGTGGTTGATGAACACACTTAAGAGCTGGCCGGAAAATCCACCTTCACAATGGCCTAAAAAGGCATTAAGCGAGTCCATGCTCTTAGACGGTACTTTTCTTCCAGGACGGAAGCCAGTAAAGAAGTTTAGTGCTTGGACTTAAGCAGCGAAAGCCATTACCAGAGTCCTCAAAAATGCCTCGATTCATGGTCGAGTTTACCACAGTGTTCTCAGCGTCTGGAGAATTAAACGAACGTAAGCCGAAGCAGCCCTCTGCTGCAGAATCACGTGCCCTCGGCATTTACGAAATTTCCTGCCATGACCATACTCATGCGAGTTTCTCCATGCGACGCTTAGGGCATAATGCCCATGATGAGTGACGTAAATAACAACAAAAAACTCTATCGTTATTTTTTTTCTAAAAGCTACAGCAGATCCTCTCATTCAAACGAACTGGTAATACAGTCCAGATCTAAAACATTGCGTTTCTTTGTCTCCATTCAGGGGGTTGAGGGCCGGATGAGTGACAGCGGCCCATCACTCAACAGACAGAAATCTGTGGG